TGGGAGTGGGGGGGTGAGGGGATTAGGGGGGGGCTCATGCTGCTGTAGTTGCCACAGGCCAGACTGTAAAACTCAACAGCACGTCCTCCTGCTCCGACCTCTGACACGCGTTAAATCACTGGAATGAAGGGGAGAGGAACATTTGGAGGAACATTCTGTCTCGGTTTAACCCACCATGGGTTAAACAGTCACTGATGTAAGGTCCAAATGGACACACACACACATTAAATGTACTGTGGCGTCTCTCTTTCCGTGGGACAGGAAGTGCTGCAGCTGCGGCCGCCGCAGGAACTCGAGGCGTAAACGTTTTCTGGACATGGTCGAGATTTGACCCTCAAACTGCTGCCGACCAGGATGGAGCCCGTGAAGAAAGACATGGAGCTGCTCAGCAACAGCATGGCCACCTACGCCCACATTAAAGGTAACGCCTGTGACTGACTCTGTCACATTAAAGGTAACGCCTGTGACTGACTCGGCATCGCAGTCAGATTAATCATCCATCGTTTCGTCATGTCTAATCGAGCTTCTCGAACCCTCGCAGCCAATCCAGAGAGCTTCGCTCTCTACTTCATGATGGGCGTCTGTTTCGGCCTCCTGATGGCGCTGTGCCTCATGGTGGCAGCCATTGCCTGCAGGACCCGACGCGTCGTCAAACCTCCTCCGTCTCCTGAGAGGAGACAGTTGAAGGAGTCCAGCGTGGAGGACGAAGACGACGAGGACGAGGAGAGCATCGCCGGGGAAAACACTCAGGATGTGGACGCCCCCAGGGAGACGTCCAGACGGTCCAGGAGTGAACGCAGCAGCCCGTCCAATGGGACGCTGAGGAGCGTGAACGTGTTTGCGTCGGCTGAGGAGCTGGAGAAGGCCAGGCGATTGGAGGAGAGGGAGCGGATCGTCAGGGAGATCTGGAGGAACGGGCAGCCGGACATTCTGGTCACTGGGACGGGGACGATTGGTCGGGTCCATTACAAGTAACGGTGTGGACACTGAGAGTGGACGAACGCTCAGGTGGCTCTGATACTGTAGCATTGTTTACTTGAACTAGTGCGAACGCTAACACCCAAAGTTCAGACTTTCACCTCAACATCCAAAGTTTGCTGCCTGATACCAAATCCAAAAATTGCAGAATTCCAGAGAGTGAAAAAAGAAATGTGGAAAACAGACCACACAGTGGTGGAGTGTCTGGTGCTTTTACCTTACAGGCAGAAGGTCACCTGTTCGACTCTCATGGTGTTTTTGTTCAGATTAGTGTTCATGTTCAACCCGTGTGTTGATTTTTCTCGTTTCCACCTACAATTCAAAACCACAGAATAATTATTAGTTATCCGTTCACTCCAAACTTCACCACCGGTGTGAATGTGAGTGTGAATGGTTGTTGTACCTTGTGGTGGACTGGTCTACACCGCCCTCACCCAGTGACCATTTGGACTGGCTACAGCTGTTAGCTTTTGGTCTAACAACAGGATGCAAAAAGATGGACGGTGATTAAGTAGGTGGTAAGTGTGCCCTCTGCTGGAGGATGCAGCAACTACTTTTAAAAGTCAGAAATTTTCGTTTTTTGGAGGGGAGGTTTCACCATTTAATTCAGGGTTTAAACAAATGGTCAAACAAAAGTTTGGACTTTGGTCCTTGGCCTGACTGACACTGAAGACCATCGACCGGTCATCCACCCCCGGTCTATGAGTATGTAACGGAGAAAAACAGTTGTGATCACCAGGTTCCATTAAGCATTAGGACGAACGAGGACTTCATTTAAGAACGATGTGATTAAACTGAGTCACAGACAGAGGACACCAGTGTCTCAGTCTGTTTGTCAGAGTCACAGACTCAGTCAGGTGACAGTGAGGACTCGTGGTCTGCAGTCCCAGGACACATGGTCTTTTCATGAGCCGAGACAGAAGAGGAAAGAAATCTCCAGAGACGTTCCCAGGTTTACAGCCCAGGTCAATGGTCCTTTCATGGACCCAGACGGACATGTCTTCACCAGAGAGGGAGCAGTGTTGTTGCTGGAGCTGCACGCAGCAGGGAGGAGGGGAGAGGTGCATGCTGGGAGTTGTGGAAAGACACAGTGGGCTGACTCCAGTCTGCAGCTCTCTCACCTCACCCTCTCTGGGTCTCATTCATTAACTTCAACATCCTGTTAAATCAAATAGTGGCCTGTGGGCCACATGTGGGTCAGACAGAACCGTAGAGCGGCCCAGTTAGTGGCCACGTCATGAAAACACAGAGAGAAGCAGTCCAAAACTTCTACTGTAGAACCATGACCATGAAGGCAACACCGCAGAGCCCCCTGTAGTCAGGAGTGAGAATTAACATCATCGCCCAATGCTAATTTTCTTAACTTTCTTAAAATAACTTTTCCGAAACTTGTCAAGAATCAAAAACAAATTTATTGGAAATTAAAATACTTGGGAACTATCGTGTAGCGTAAAAAAAAAGTCAACTTTTAATGAAGAAGAAAACAAAGGGGAAGTAACGACAGGAGTCTGCTACAGTTTCTGTTCACGACATGCTCTATGTACAGACAAACGTAGGACGGAGCAGCGCCGACGGACTCCCTGAACCAACAGGAGCTGAACTGATCGGTTTTCTATTTCTAAAAACGTAGGACGGAGCAGCGCCGACGGAACTGATCTGTTTTCTATTTCTATTGCGGTTCACTGAGGCGAGAATGTTTCCAAACAGAATAAGTGAAGATTCAGAAAATGAAACTGTAGATCAACAGACTGTCAACAGTGGTGCCTTCAGGTACAGCCATGACCGCAGCGTTAACACATTAACGTTTGCTTAACCTAACAAATAAACCAGGACACGTTCGACCAGTTGCAGATCAATACACTGCTGTGAAGGGGACAAAGACATGTCAGTGGTCTTTAGAGGGCGCTGCGCTCCTGTGGTTATCTTTGTATGTCACTTAAATTTGAAAAGCAAATATGTGTGACGCAACAGTGGTTCCCAAAGTGTGGGGCGGCGGCCCACGAGTTGTGCAGCGAGGTAAATTTGCTGTGTTTGATGAAGTTCAGTGGAGATTTGAAGCCATCGTGTGACTGTAAATTAAATTAATTTTCATTAAAAATAAAGTTCAATATCCAACGATTCCTGTGCTTTTGTTCAAAACTGTTTTGTCGCAGCTTTAACCAGAGGTGTACGATGTCACAAGTGAAAATGAGCATTCTGTATTTCTTTAGAGCATGACGTGTAACACGTTAACGGTGCTCAACTGAAGGCACCACTGATGATGGCCTGTAGGTGAGTCAGAGTCCGTCGTCCACCACTGATTGGTCCCGTGGAACGGATGAAACATTTCCTGGACTCACACCAGAGAACAAACAGAGAGGATGAAAGGTGAACAGTTCTCTGATCGACACTGACGTGGAGCGTCGACGGCTGCACCTTCACACACACACACACAGTTCAGAGACACACACACACACTGACAGTATTTTCTCCCTCCTAAGGCACGGACACTTTTTCTTTGTCATATTCTCAGTTTGTCCTCCTCTCCTCCCTCAGTTACTTCCTTCTTTCTTACGAAGACACACCGAAATCGTCCAGCTGCAAAACAAGACCATTAAGATTAAAAAGAAAAAGAAAAAAAAAACAAACCAACAACCGTCAGTTTGACTCACAGACACGGCTAACGAGCGCGCTGCTCTGCATTCGAGGCGTTAACAGCAGGGTACTTCACGATCAAAGGACCAGAACCGCGACGGAGAACTACGTCAGGGCGGTTCACATGAAGCGTCAGAGTTTTTTTACTGTGACATTTACAGAACGTCTTCTCAACGACGCCACTGACTGGCAGATCAGTCGGGACTAAAGAGTTCTAAAGAACTCACCTGGTCAATAAATCAATAAAGAGCTGTACAGCGCTTTATAGCACAACAACAACAACTGCAATGATAGAATTTTCACATTCTACTTAAAGGGTTCTTGGTTCAATTCCACCTAATCCCCAATGCCAGGTTGGGAAAAGAAAGAAATCTAAATTGCTAAACGGTGATATATAAATATTGGGATGGATCAGCCTTTCTCATGTAATCATCAAGTGATCCAGCAGAGGGCAGTATAGTTCCAACACAGTAAAATCTAATCGTCCCTACACCAAAGACTATTTCATGAAGTTTTGCTGTAAAAATTGACTTTACACCAAAATCTTGCTGCTACCTAATAAAAATAATTATGATTAAAAAAAACCCAAAAAATCACTTTCAAACCTTGAAAGCACAACATTAACATTTAAACCATTTCACGGATTCAAAGCACCTCCTCCAACCCTGCTGTTAAGGCAAGGCTGCCATCTAGTGTCTTTGTTGTGAATTAAATTTCTATAGTGACTCCTCGGCTCCGCCGTCATGTGAACTGCCCCTGTGACCGTGTCTCTGACCAAATGAAGCAGCAGCAGCTTCGACTACTTAAGTCCGGGGTCTCCGGGTCCCTTTGTGTCTTTGTGCTCCACCTCCACACTGTCGTCTCCCATCTCTTCTCCTCCCTGGTACATGTCGTGGGTCCACTTGGGGCTGCTGCCGCCTCCCTTCCTGTACACGAAGCGTCCGCGGCGGGCAGGGAAAGCACCCCTGCCTCGCCCGCGGTTATCGGACCAGGTTTTTTCTCCGTCACGGTCGTCATGCTGGAGGTGAAGGTCGAGGTGCGTTTGTTCAGACTGTGTTCAACTTATTAAAATTATTAAAACATAATCAATCACTTTTCACTGCTCAGTACTCACCAGGTAATACTTCCTGCTCTTTGGAGTATACTCAGGGTCCCACTCCTCCTCTGGGGGGCGCACTGGGACATTTACATTGCCAGGGTTTCCATTGCTATTGTTGCCTTGATAATTTCCCCTGTTCCAACCTCTCCCTCTGACTCTGGGGAACTGGAACCAGAACAATGATTGTGTTTTCATTGAGCAGCAGTCAAACAGAGACAGGTTTTCATTCTGACAGAAAGATTTGTAAATGTGTCAGAGTTATAATAAAAAAATAAATAAAGATATTTAGAACAACATGTCAAGATACTGACGGAAACCACACATTGGTTTATTGAGGAGTTTCCACTGATCTGCTCTACGTTACCTTAATAAAAAAATGTGGAAGTTGTTGGAAAATGTTTGAGTAAGTTCCATCATCATCAATATCATCATCATCATCATCATCCACATTATGTTCCTCAGTATTAGGAGGACAGACAGCAGTGAAATGCGGTCTACTGTGACCCCAGGACGACAGAGAATTGTTAGAGGACGATGATGAGAATTCACTTTCTAAAATCAAAGACGATGATAATAGAAAAAAAAAAGAGGAAATCCTCGAGACAAACTTACAAATCCACGTCCTCTGCCTCTCTCTGGGTTGTGGCCCTCATAATCTCGCGGGCCACGGTCTCCGGCTCCGCCGTAGTCTCGTGGAGGGTAGCGTGGTTGGCCGTAGCCCTCCTCTGAGTGCTCCATCCCCTCGCCCATGTACTCTTTACCTCTGAAAGGTGGAGGAGGAGGGGAAGGAGAGGAGGAGGAGGAGGAGGAAGATTGGGAGCGATCCCGTTTCTTCTTGCCCTTCCTGTACGGGTGCCAAACTCAGCATCAGTAAAAGTTGGTGGATAATATTTTTTCCAAACTGTTTCTGTCCCGGGGAAACCTACTTGGATTTTTTGTGGTGTTTCCCAGTTTTCTCAGAGGACTTCTCTCTGCTCGGCCCTCGGGAGCCCCCGGGGCTCCTGGCTCCTTCACGTTTGAAGTCTCGATCTTTCCCTGCGATTCTCTTGCGTCTTTCTATATCCAGCCTGAGGTCCATGACGTCACCTTTGAACTTTTTACTTGGATCCTGCAGGAAGAGAAAGGTCTTCATTTACCACTTTCCCAGACGTCTGTCCGACAACATGAGGCAAATGTTTGTGATTCACTCACATGATCATCCATACAGTTTTTAATACAGCTGCCCGACAGTTAGGTGGTAAATATACAATATATATATATGTTCTCTTAGAGTGAAACGACACACTCAACTTACGACATCAATAACGATTCTATTACGATTTTAGAAAATGAGCTCCCAACAAATTATGACTAAATAACAATCCTTTATTCGTAAGAACTCCCGTCACCAACTGAAATGATCTGTGAACCTCATAAACTGAAAATCTTTGATAGATAACATCAACATTGATGTCCTCTGATTAAAGGTCTGATTGACCTGGTTAAATGTCAACATATTAAACAACATATGCTGTTGGTGTCTGTGGAACAGGTTACCTGACGTCTTGATTTAACAGTGGGTCACGACCAACGTTTTTAGGCCTCTACCGCCCCCTACTGTACTAGAGTGTGTAGGGTCAGAGTATGACAAGAACGCAGCCTCTTTACGCCTTGTGTCGCGATTCATTTTTACTTAAATCGTTGCAAATCATCTCGCATTTGTACCCCGTTTTCCCCCCCATCGACTCCTGATGCATCGTTACATCCCTAATGTTGTCTGTGTTGGTGACTGTGATCAGTGACTTCACCCCCCCCCCCCCCCCCCCCCCACCTAAACCATTGTCCACTGTGTGAAGTACAGACAGCACCACCATAAACCAGCAGCATGCATGTAGCACAGTTCAATAAAGACAATTTCAATTCTTTTGTGGCTTTTTTTTTTCGAAAAAAAATACTTACAAGGTAAAGGCAGACAGATAAGCGTCCCTTGACAGGCTCGGACTCAGGATCTTAATTCACTTCCTTTTAGCCTGTTCTCGGCCTCGTTTCTACCCAATCAATAACCATATCTCATAGGCTGGGGGGGGGCTTGCTTGGCACTTACAAAACACAATTGGGCTCTTTTGATTTAGAAATATGCATCCTTTGAAAGAAAAGCACAAAGCTGAACACTGCTGCTCTGGATCCTGGCAAGATTTTTTTTTTCTTGTTCCATTAATAGGTCAAATGTCAAAAGGACGGGTCACCTTGTAGCTCGTCTCCTCCAAATCCTCAAACAGGTGAGAGTGCCTCTTAAAGGCACTGGGGGAAACATCGATTCTCCTGAGAAGAGGAGGAAGTGATGTCAGTGGGTCAACACAAAAAATAATGATTAAATATAAAATAATTAATAAAATAAGTGTTTTGTCGCAGCAGTGACTGGTGCGTCTACGGCTGGACATACCTGTGGATTTCTGGACTCTTCCTTGGCTTCATCAATTCTGCCTCTGCAGCTTTTCTTTGGTACATGGCAAACCGCTCACTCAGAGTCATGTCTGAGGATTTGAAGTGTTGTGCTGTAAATCCACAGGAGAACAGAAGAGTTATCTCACACCCAGGAGCAGTAACTGATGTCACTCAGCAGAAATATGAATATTTAGGTCTGTTTCCCCGTCGACTGTCGCCTCCTTCTCCTGTCAGACTGTGGCAAAGCCACACGTCACATACTCTACCTTTGATGTAATGCACAATGGAGACTAAGTGCTGAGCAAAGAGCTCAGACGGGCTGCGGCGGAGCTGCGCTGCCTGAATCTGCTGGAACACAGAGTAAAAATCGGACTCTTTCTTGGGAATGTTCAGATCCCGGGGCACGACGCGATCTTTCGACAGGAAGGAGCTGAAAAAATAAATAAAGATTGAGATGAAGTAATCATGGATAAATAGGATGACAGAAACCAACAGTGGTTTGCAAAGTTAGGGGCAGGGTCCCCTTAGAGACATGGCCCTATTGGAAATAGCACAGATATGTAATTTAATTGTCTGTGCTAATGAAGAATATCAGGTTTGTAAGAAATACATAAACATAGGATGTGACGTAAAACTGGTCAAGAGATAAAACGCATGAATAAGCTCTACAGGTCAAACCTTGGCATGTCATCGAAGGAAGACATTTTCAGCTCAAAGTCCTCCCTGGTCGATGACAGACGTCCAGGCTGAACTGTTGAACTCTTCTCCTTGTTCCTACCACATCTCAACAGTTTATCAGACTCCAGCTCCAAACATCATCTAATCACAAACAAACACATCCGAGACTTCTCCTTTTTCTCCTTCTTCTTGGCCTTCTCCTCTTTCTTGTGTTTGCGGCTGTGGTACAACTCCTCGCCCAGCTGATCTGCAGGCTCAGGTTCATCATTATCTCTCCTGCTTTTCTCCTTGATTGATGGGTAGGACGTGGAGTAGCTCGGCTCGTCGCCCCACTTCCCGAAAATGTCCCGAGCCGTCAGAGCCGGCTGGACATCCAGGTCCTCGTCCATGTGGTCTTTCAGCCCATGAGACTTGAGGAACTCCTCCTCTTCAGCCTCGAAGAAAGGCTGAACTTTTTCCTCCTTGGACTCGAAGGAAGAGGACGAGATGCTGAAAAGGTTTTCACTCTTGTTCAGTTTCTCCAGGCTCCTGTCGGGGGCGCTCAGCTCTTGCTCACGCTCATTCTCATTTTCAGATGCCTGCTTTTTGTTCTTGTTATCAGCCAAAAATCTGAAAAGAAACAACACAACATTAGAAAGTTTGAGTAAAAGAGAATTTAGAAATTTGACTTTGACAGAAGGGAATTTTAAAAATTGTAACAATGTCATTGGTTTTGAGACACTGTAATAAAAACCTACTTCTTGAAGGCTGTAGAGATCACAGTCTTATCCCCAACTTTAGCTTCTTCCTTTGAGAAGAACCCAAAGCCAAAGCTGGAGGACTGTCCTGAACTTTTGGGGCTCGTGGCTGGAGGTGACGAGCTGCCGATGGATTTCCACATGGATCCACCGCTGCCAGGACCTTTGGACTCAGAAGCAGGTGGTGCGTCGTCTTTCTTGTCACTGGTTGGTTTGGGGCTCCTGTCAAACTCGATCCACTTCCCTCCTGACGCCTTCTCGATGTCAGCACCGTCTGATGCTGGACTCTGCTTCTTCACCTGGTTCTCCACCAGCTTGTCTTTCACTTCCTTGCCCCCTGGTTTGCTTTTGGTATTACGGCGGCGAGATGAGGATCTGGACCGCGAGGAGTTGCTTGAGTGCCTGGAGCGCCGGGATCTGCCTGATGATGATTGGTCAGAGTAGCGAGAGCGGCTACGGCTGCCTGATCGCTTCTTGGGTGTGCGGGAGCGTGAGCGCCCCCTTCGAGGGCTGTGGTGATCTTGGTCATGGTGACGATCGTGCCAGGCCCCACCACCGCCTCCACCGCCGCCGCCGCCGCCGCCACCACCACCACCACCACTCTGCCAGTTGGACTTGTAGTTGTATCCTCCACCTCCCCCTCTGTTCTGGTAATGACCACGCTGGTAGTAGCCACGGTTCCTGCCTCTATAGTGGAACGGGCGTCTGTAGCCGCGGTTGTAGCCCCTGTAGCCCCCTCTGTTGTTCTGGTAGTCCCGAGATGGGTAGTTTCTGTAGGGAGAGTGGGAACGAGAGCGGGAACGAGACCTGGAGCTGGACGAGAGAAGAGAGAGAGGAAAAAAAAGAATGTGATGAAAGATGATTTTCCCAAAGACGCAGCAGTGCATGGTTTAAAAAAACTAGTCGAAACAGGACTTTTGAACTGCTGCATTGACGTGAGACTGACACAGGAACAGGCTCTGCCTGCCTGACTGGTAGAAGTGAGCGTTTGTTTACAGGCTGAGTACACATTCAAATCATTAAAAAACGTCTGTTTGCATTTTTTTTACATGTTTTGCTGCCATGACATGAAAAGAAGCCTCTGTCTTTATTGACCTCTGTTGGTTTGTTGACAGACAAAACACTGAATGTGTTCTTTTATTCACAGGATTACTGAAGTGTTTCATCTCTGAATCACAATTACTGAGGAGACAAACAGTTACATTTACCTATAGCGACGTTTCCTGGATCTTGAGCGGGACCGGCTTCTGGTGTGAGACCTGGAGTACGACCTGGACCTGGACCTTGATCTGGACCGAGACTGAACGTGAGAATCCGGAGCCTTCGACATCTTCTTCTGCTCTTCAGAAGATTCCTGTCCTTAAACACAGAAAAATGAGGCTTTAGTGTCACCCCATCTGGGCCACAGCACAGTTCCAACTCTGGAAGATGCTGCTCTTTGAACCTAAAGAGTTGGTTCACAGTTTGTGTGTTTAAAATGTTTGCGATGATTCAGCTGACTCTGAAATTCAGTGGAACAGTACAAGGAACAGTAACAACAGTCAAAAACCAGGCTTTTGAATAGAACCATAACCCAAACAGGACACATGACGTCCCCCCTTCCAGGAAATACTCACCAGTATCACCAGTAGAACTGACACACACACACAAACATCCTCCACATGCATAACGATGGGACAGTGACCTGTGTCCAGACTTACTGACAGGCCTGACCTTCTCACTCCTTCACCCTGACCTTAGTGCCAGAGATTCTACTGAAACCGTAAAGCCGTGACCTCGAAGTGTCGAAAGGTATAAATCAAAACACAAGTGGCCGAAACATACAGAAGCTGAGGTTGGAGACAGTAGCAGACAGCTGGAGCAGCATTAGCTTTTGAAATGGCAGCAACATGAGACGAGAGGAGCTTATGTGCACACAGGATATCCAGGCTGTTACTAAGGCCCAACACAAACACAGAAACCCACCACAGACCAGATCATCAGCTCTGTTTTTTCTTATGAGAGAGATGACAATTTACAGAAACTGTTTGAGGGAAAGTTGAATCTTCCGTGTCGTTACATTTTGTAAATTAACTGAACTTTATTTCAGCCTGGCTCATGATCTGTTTATCAGAACATGAAAAAAATATCATTTTTCCACTCAGCGTGTCGTATGGTCAGCGGCCAACTCTAAGACAACATATCACTTCCATCTTATAAACATTTCCTTTCACTTTTGCTTCTATGAAATCCTTCCAACGACCCACGCTGCTCCAGTGCAGATAAATAATGAACGGAAATTAAAATTTGAGTGAAACCATAATGTTAAAGAAGATAGATTATTGTGTAACTACTTTATGGATAAAAAATATTAAAAATAAGAAACATTTTGTCTCAGATTTCTTAACACGCATTAACAGATTATGTTATGATCTGTTGGGAATACAATGTAGAATAAAAACAACTAAGAAATTGCTGAATGTTTTAAGAGTCTGGTGGGGGAGATACTGCAGGTCAAAGTCTAAAGCAGGACTTCACAAAAGCCTCAACTTTAAAATGTCCTGATGTTGTAACAACACAATACGGTATAAACATCACCTCGTTACCAACTGAAACCCGTTCTTTGTTAAATGATAAAACCACTGTCAGAGATTCAAGGTCTTTTGTTTTTTTAATTTACCACCTAATTGTCACTGGTGCTCTTCTGCTGTTTAAAAAAAGCCTTTGCCAGTATTGTAATTAATCCCCAAACAATTTAAACAGTTCCGGGAGGAAGGCTGATCCTCTGGAGACGACAATGTGTTTACTTTTACTGCAACGCGAGTAAATTCTGCGATCCCTTCTGTAGCTGTTGTTGCCGCGGAGGTTTTCGGTTACAGTGGAAAGCAGTCCGGCTTGTTTTTTTTGTTTTTTTATGTAAAGAGCTTATTTGACCAGGGATACAAACACGACCGATTGTGATGTAAATCATTAAACACGAGAAAACCAGATACTGCGCTGAAGTAGACCAGGTCAGATGAGCAACAAGATTATAAATCACAAAACACAGAAGAAGATAAACACAATATATATACATATAATTAGGTGTTAACCTCGTAGCAGAAATTATTAATTATTACTAGCATACGTTGGTTGCACGTGTGTTATAAAGGGAAAGCCGAATTTAGGTCACAAATGTAATTAGCCCTGAAAACAGTTCTTACTCTTTATTTACTTTATTTACAGAATACCTAAAGCTAAGACCTTAAATTTGAGGTAAATTTCATCACAGGTGTCATTAGGTCAGAACATATTAAATAGTGGAGGTAAAGACAAGTGGCTGCTGCCGTAATTCAATCAAGAACGCAATGATGCGCAACACATTAAAATCATCTCAGAAGAACTTTAACAGCCATTAGCTTAACAAAAAATGAAAACCGAGTGGTAGTTACCTTGTCCTGGTTAACTGTAGACCTGGCGAGTGCGCTTTACACAAATCGATGCCTGCAGGACTTGAACAACCTTTCCTTCCTGGTTTTACCGCAACGACACGAACCAATGGACGTTAGCCACTTAGCTTCTTTAGCCACTTAGCTAGTTGGCAGCGGCGGTGGCGCACTGTCGCCAAACCTAGCAATATGCACCGTCAGTGAAGAGCGTGGTTTACGGTATCATTGTCCACAAAGTATAAAAGAGAACAAATTCAGTCCTAAATTCGTGCTAAATGTTCTGTAATGGTCGTCAAGGCGATTTTTAATTACAGCTCCCGACCAGTTAGCAGTCAATGCTATCCGTGGTCGATGGTAATGTTTAAGCCACGCGGGACTTGGCGTGAAAACGCGAGACGTAGTTTGATAGTGTTCCCAACGTTTTTTTCCAGTCCGCCGTTAAACGAATCGATCCAGCTTCATTTTCCTAAGGAAAAGTGGGGATTCTGTTCTGAATTCTCAGTCGTGTGCAAATAATATGTATTACTAAAATGTATTTAACGTAGTGTGGATATTTAATAGAAAAAGTAGCGTCAACACTTCAGTAAAACCTTTCAAATGACACTTTCCTTCACAGCACAGGTGCAGGAGCCTCAAATGTGCCAAAGTTAAAATTAACCCTGGATAAATCTCGGCCACATTGTGAAAACACTCGTCTCTTTGTCTGTTACTCGTGGCTACGGGACTGTTTACTGACTGTTCACTGGTGATTAGAGTTCCAAGGGGGCAGAGGACAACTGTGACTGATGGGTCCATGAAACAGCAGTGAAATAAAGTCAGCAGGACTAAAGGGACTAATGTGGTGCTTGGACACTGCAACATGAGACCCGTGGAGCATATGTGTCATCCATTCAAATCAAGCAAACAGACTGCAATATGGTTAAGTTTAATACGACGTATTACCCCCTGAATAATTATTTTTAATTCTGTAAGAGACAAAAGATACTTTGTTGTATTCACGGGTTTCCTTGTCTTTTTCCCCTCTACGTTTTAATGCATCAAGACTAATGAAAGTCGTTGAAGATGGAGAGATAATAGTCATTTTGTAACGTGTCTGTTATGTGTATCTTTGTAATTTAGAACATTGCTGCCCTCTCCTGGCTCCAAGTGTTAACGTGTCAAACAGTCCACGGAAATATACGTTAAGCAAAAATATTATCATTTAATTAAAAACGATTAAAAAAATCTAAAACAACACTCTATAGAGAAACTAAACAAAAACTTTAAATAAATACTTCGTTCCGGAAACAGAGGATTACAGAACATAAGCACAATGCTACAAATGCTAACTCTAGTTCTGCCTGCGGAGATTTAATTTTTTTTTAAAGTTTTTAAAAAAATGCGAATATATATAAATATAGCAACGTTTTAGTTACATTTTAAACATGCAAACTTGATGTATTTCTTTGGTATTTTGTAAATAAGTTCCTTACCTTTAAACTAAGTCCTAGCATTCGGAGTTTCGGAGATCGGAGGAGCATTTCCGGTACATCCTGACATGAAAAAGAGAACGGAGGCTTTCCCTTTCATAAAGCTTTATTTCACAGATCTCCTGCATCAGGAGGCCGAGGCAGCCAGGCTCATAATACATTTACATACACTGTCCTGTGGCCAGTCTCTCTGTATGTTAAATAACTCAGTAATCCAACACAAAAACAACAAACACGCGCACACACACGCACAAACATCTTCAACATAAGATTACAATAACAATATCATAACAACAGTAATAATAACAACCATTGCAGAATATTACGCATTTCCTGGTTCTTTTTAATGATGTGTTTTCTAAAACTTTGTTACATTGTCAGTCATCTTTAAGGTGCACCGTAAAATCTGCTTGTGACATTTTTTTCTTTTAATAAAACCTGACAAATGCTGCACCAGAACACGCTGTGAAGACAGAATACTTGTTGCATGTTTTTATATATTTATTTATTATTTTATATATATATATATTTATACTGTGTATGGTTAATTTGAATGAGCACTTTCTCAATCCAGGCAGATTATCATCTTGCTCCTCCTCCTCTTCACTACTGTGGCAGTTACTGTCTATGTCGAGGTGATTTCAGCGCAGTTTTGTTTGTTTGTTTGGCACACAGTTTTTTAAGCCGCTGTGGTGTGGTATGAAATCTCGTAGCTCAGGCAGAGCCATTGGAAGTGACTCCTTCTGTGGGTGTGGGTCTCAGAGGACCTCTGTGGACAACGGAGACAGTGTGAGGCCAAAAAGTAGTCAGAAAATAACAGCAATCTTAGTTCTATACCGACATTTATTTAGCTATAGCTAACAACGCAGGTCATTTTTAGCATTGAATTAGCTCCAAGTTAACCAAAAGATATATGCAAGTTACTTAAGATCTAGTTAAGAGTCATACTGTATTCTGTGGGTCTGTACCTGCCACGTGTTGGGACTTCATGGGACCTGTCTTCATCAGAAACGGTTCTCCGCCCTCGTACGGCAGGATGGGCTGCTGTTGACCAGAGCCGCTGTTCTTGTTCAGCTTCATGATGTCGTCGAAGTCTGACGACTCTCCGTTGGCCGCCACGCCGTTTTGGTGAGAGGTGGGCTGGACGCCGTTCACAACGGCAGCAGGGCTGGAAGTCTGAAGGTTTCCAGGAGCTGCAGAGACGGAGGTGAAGCAAACATTTAGGAGTCACATTTGGAAACAACCATTCACACCAGCATTCACACCAAATGTTAGTTAGGAGTGAATAATTAACCTAATTCTACATGTTTGTGGACGGTGGGAGAAACAGCACAAACACAGGGAGAAGATTTAAACTCCAAACACAGACACCATCACATCCCACTGGGACTCGAACCAAAAGCACGAGCAACAGGGAGAAGATTTAAACTCCAAACACTGACACCATCACATCCCACTGGGCCTCAAACCACTCATTTCCTTGCTGTCAGGCAAAAGCCTGAGCCACTATGCCACCTTGTGGCCAATGTTTGGAAATCTTAAGACCTTAAAATGTTTTACTTTAAAGGAGAAAACCTATATTTTTTGTGATGTGACACCTACCTTGACTGAGCTCTGTTTCCTTCCCATTTACTTGCGGAGAGACTTTGACTTCCTTCTGCAAAGAACAACAAGTCTTCTGTGAGGTCCAAACAACACAAGACACAAGTCTTCATTTCCGTGGTGTTCGCTTGTGTTTTAATCTCTGACCTTTTCTCCTGCGTCACTCTTCCGTGTCCTCTTCATGATCTCCTCCAGGCGCTGACGGAGAGATCAGTCAGTTAACGTCTGGTGCTTTGATTTAAGGACAGGAAGCAGCAGCTGACATGTGTGACTCTCCCCTATCTCCCCCATCCCCTCACCTTCTTCCTCTCCAGTCTCTCCTGCTCCTCCTTCTGGAAGTGTTTCTCCCTCTCGATGCGCTGACGCTCGGCCTCTTCACGAGCTTTAGCTTCAGCCTCCTCACGCTGGAAAAAAAAGACAACGTCAAAGGCTGAAGTTCTTTCTTGTATTTTTGCATTAATCAGACTTTAATTAAATATTGTTTGCAGTCTGCTGAAGTTCTTTCTTGTATTTTTGCATCAGACTTTGATAGACAAATATTTTTTGCAGTCCCAAAGGAATTAAAACCTAAGATGTTCCATCTCATATAGAGTGCAGATGTGCACTGAAGTGACAACTGTTTTCTTATCACTTTGTTTGTATTTAAACAAACAAATCATTCCCGCCTTTAACCACCAGGAGGCAGCATTTCCCCAGTTGGCTGCGCAGCTTCATGATCACTGTTTAATAATGCAGTGTATCATGATGGATTTCCAGCAATGCATGCTGGGTGTGGGGTGTATGTAGGTAGGAGGTGACGTTGCCCAACTTTTGCTGTCTGTGCTGTAAAACCACGAAGTCACATGACGAAGACCGAAGCCTTCAGGAAGAAGAGGAAGAAGAAGAAGAAGAGTCAGGCGCTCGTGTCAGTTCTGCACTGAATGAGAAGCATCTCTGTGACGACGCAGCTTCGTCCTGATTGGCTGCAGGCCTGGCTGACGCACATCACATTGTGGTTGGATTTATTATGGCCTGTAGATTTGTTTTACTGTTGACCACAGGGAAAATGCATTTTTATTTCATTTTCTTTATTACAAACCATTCTATTTTATTCTGAATCTGTTCTATGTATTTGTTTTTCAGGCTTATTTTGACTATTTATTTATTGGCAGCCTTGGTACCTTTTGGTTTTCCTGGTTAACTTTTTGTTATTTATGCCTAATTTTATTTAAACTAAAATACAGCTAATTTTGTAGCATTGAATTAGCGTAAAGTTACCCAGAAATGTAACAAAAAGGTTTGACCTTAGGTTACTCGGGGAACAGCTAATGGCCAAATATGAAAATGAAAGTCAAAAATTAAATGAATAGACAAAACAAAATGTGACTTAAATTTAGTACAGCCTCTAACAGCCCGACGCAGTGACTTCAATATATACACTGTACTATAGATATATATATAATGTGGATAAATCACACAATAAAAAAGATTTTTTCATGTTCAGGGAATAATGTGGATAAATCACACAATAAAAAAAGATTTTTTCATGTTCAGACACTTGAGCTCCAGTCAGACCCATAAAAACTGGAGTCCACTCCAGTGGTGAGCGACTCCGGCCGACGTCTCTGGAACAATGGTGTGATTGAGGCTCAGAGCGGAGCCACAGGCGGACACTGACCCTGCTTATCTCTGACCGTCAGCCCACCGCGGAGCGAGACAAGAGTCCGAGACGGGAGCGGGCCACACAGGCCGCCGACTGTCTGCAGCTCTGTGTTATATTATGGAGGTCAGCGGCCGGCATCAGACGCCCGACACTTATACATGTACAGTATTTAATCCGCTCTGATGCCAGACAGTCAGAGGGGGTGAGAGTGGGTCACAGCAGGAGGGGGGGAGGGGGGAGAGGGCTGATGTTTGGGTTCAATACAGTTAAGTGAACCCCCCCCTCCCCTGACAGATCCTTCGTTAATCTGCCCAGATGGTGAATGTGGTGCAGCGTGTAGGAATCTGATGGTTGATGGAACAAACAGGGGGTTTTTAACCAGTGTTGTCACACAGTACGTAATGGTAACGAGCAGCTTTAATCTGTCTGTGAAGCTGGTTCACTGTTTGATTACTACTGTAGTAAAAACACTGGTGTGGCTGAGCCCCCCCCCCACCCCCCCACGAAATCCAAGTCTCAAACAAACACTGGAAATAATCCGTGTTGTTGACGTTTCTGAACATCAAAACCTCAACTCATCACGAGGTTCCCTCTAGAACAGTGCTAGAACGTCTGACTCACATCACAGGACCTTCAGCACACACACAGTTCTTGTTTGGTTTGAAGATGTTTCACCAAATCTAAGATTGTATCAAAACCAGAGGTAGATCATGGGACACCATGGGATGAGGACACCTTGTCCTCCACTTATTTATATCTGGTACACAGTCCTTTGTCCTCCCATGTCTCCTGACCTGAAATTTCACACCAACATCAATAAAATAAAGTTCCCGTTCCAGGTGACCGACCTGTTTCTGCTGCCTCTCGTTCTCCTCCTGCTCAGCTCTGGCTCTCTCCTGCGCCTCCTTCTCCTCCTGCTCTCTCTGGGCGTCATCTCGGAGACGCTGCTGCTCGGCCATGAACTTGGCCTCCTCCTCTCTGCGCTTCCTCTCCTCGGCCTCCCGGGCCATGGCCTCCTCCCGCAGGATCCTGAGGAGGACACAGTTAGTGAAGGTTAGACTCAGATCAGATCAGCGGCGGAGACGCGTCTGAATCATCACACGTCGTTCTCACTTGTTCCTTTGCTCCTGTTCCAGGCGCTCCTGCTCCTCCCTCTCCCTCTGCTCCCTGGCTTGTCTGCGTTTCTCTGCCAAGGCTCGAGCGGCCTCCTCTGGGTTGTTGGTGCCGGCCGAAGGTTTGTTGGTGGAGGCAGCCGGAGCTGGAGATGGAGCTGGAGATGGAGCCGCAGCAGAAGGAGCAGAAGGAGCAGGATCGGTGCTCACTGCTGCAGGAGAAGCAGCTGAGGTTGCCGGTTCTACACTTGGTACGGCAGGATAAGCTGCTGATACCCCCGGCAGGCTGGTGGGTGGTGTAACTGGGGCAGAGGAAACTGTGATGGCAGGAACGCTGGTGGAGTCTGGGAGACAAAGAGAAAAGAGCTGACGCCTGTGTTTCTCACAGTTCACATTCGGTTCACGGTGTTAAAAACAGCCTGCGTCGGAGTTTTTGTCTCCGAGGAACAATTTGGTCAACAGATAACAACAACAACGGGACTTCAAGTGGGTTCAGAAGCAGACATTTCCAGAATCGAGCACGAACACAGTTGCAGGTTGGATTCAGCCTGTAAGGCAAAGCCCAGGGCCAATAATGAAGCCTGACCCCCCCCTGCCAGGGCTGGGGCGGCTTGCTCTGGTTTGTTGGTGCCGGCCGAAGGTTTGTTGGTGGAGGCAGCCGGAGCTGGAGCTGGAGATGGAGCTGGAGATGGAGCCGCAGCAGAAGGAGCAGAAGGAGCAGGATCGGTGCTCACTGCTGCAGGAGAAGCAGCTGAGGTTGCCGGTTCTACACTTGGTACGGCAGGATAAGCTGCTGATACCCCCGGCAGGCTGGTGGGTGGTGTAACTGGGGCAGAGGAAACTGTGATGGCAGGAACGCTGGTGGAGTCTGGGAGACAAAGAGAAAAGAGCTGACGCCTGTGTTTCTCACAGTTCACATTCGGTTCACGGTGTTAAAAACAGCCTGCGTCGGAGTTTTTGTCTCCGAGGAACAATTTGGTCAACAGATAACAACAACAACGGGACTTCAAGTGGGTTCAGAAGCAGACATTTCCAGAATCGAGCACGAACACAGTTGCAGGTTGGATTCAGCCTGTAAGGCAAAGCCCAGGGCCAATAATGACCCCTGACCCCCCCTGACCCCCTGACCCCCACCCACACACACCCACACACACTCTACCTCCCCAGTTCACTTTGTCACTCACTTTTCTTCTGCTCAGAAACATCAGGCTGCTGGGTCTCGTGGCTCGTTTCCACGGCGACCGCTGCGACGGCCTGAGGCTGAACCCTGGCTGGAGTCTGAGCCCGTTTGGGTCTGGTTTTGGACCCAGGTGGAGGAGTCTTCTTTCCTGTGGCGGTCTTTGAAGCTGGTGCTGGCACCAGGGGGGACAGGGGCCGACTTTTAGGAGCGGCAGGAGACGGAGGTCTGTTCTTGGGTTTGGGGGTGCTGAGGGGGAGAGACGGGAGGTGTGGGTGATGGATGTTAATTGGGCGGAGGCTGCAGTACAGCTGTAGTGAGTGTTATTATGGTCTGTAACCAGGTCAAGTGGAGGATCTGGACCAATTTGAAGCCTAACATTTGGTTCTGAATGCCTCTGAGGCTGATGGGAAATGTGTAGGAAGAGGTAAGAAAATCTATCCAGGTTACCAGTAAAGTGCAGGGCGGCAGTGAGCCACTAGAGGGCACCTCTTTGGAAGAACAAATTCTATTTCTCACCAACGTTTGAAGTTGTCGTACCTGGTCTCCGACCGTGATCTGGTGGTGGCAGGAAGTGGTGATGTTGTCTGTCTCCTCTTCTGAACTTTTGTCAGAGCGTTCTTCTCCTTCTCATTCTCCCTCTCTTTGTCCTTCTTCTCTTTCTTCTTCTTGTCAACCTGGAGGACCAGGGGAGGGGCACCAGATTCATTACTTCCTGGTTTTTCACAACTTGTGCAGCACAGGAACAGCAAATCTAATCAGTCTGGTCTGGTCCAGGATCTGAGACCACGAGAACCGTACCAGAACCTGAAGAGTTTGTGTCGATGCTCACCGGTGTAAAGTTCCGTTGACGTTGGCGTTGAGTGATGTCTGGCGTACTGGCGGACGAAAGTCTCCAGCGTTCGGCGGAGTTCTGGTGTTGATGGGAGCAGGACTTCAGCGGGCTGGTGGAGGCTGAAGTTAGCAAAGAACACAGTCTGAGTAAGATGTTAAACATGAGGGGCGCGGGTATTTTGAAAGGCTGAGGTTTTAGGATCTGGGTTACTCACAGTCACGGGAGTCGCTGCTGTTCAGGAGGGTGGCGGCGCTGCGACTGCGGGCCAGGAAGGACAGCGTCGGGGTCATGAGTCGCTCCACGATCCGACTCTCCCACGGGCTGAGACGCAGACTGCGGGCTGAGAGGGAAAGATCTGTGATTTATCCTGACCAACAGTCAAATGAACTTCAACATGTCATAACAACACAGACGCCAATCTGCCAGGGAGCGATGATCACATTTAAAGAGTGAACAGCAGATGGATGGCTTCACTTTGGCCAAAAAACACTGAAAAATAAGAAAAGAAAAAGAAAAAAAAAACACACGCCACACTCAGATCGATGCAGTACAAAATGCCTGTCAGTTTGTGGTGAGTTGAGAATTAGTGTGTGTCCATCTTCCACTAACCACACCCACACCGCTCCGACCCTAACACCGCTCTGCTGGTGCGGTGTTCACGGGACACATGATGGAGACGCAGCAGCAGCAGCAGCAGCACGGAACACCGATGACGTGTGATGAAGGATGGAAACAGAAACAGAAACAGAAACGTCACACGTACAGAACCCGTCGCCGTCTGTTGAGCAACAGAGAGCGATCTTTGAGTCCAGCAAAGATCGGCTGGAAAGTATTTGTCCACAAGCTACAAATACTTGAGTACACAAATGTCTGAAGTCGCAGGAAACACAGAGAGGAAAAGAGGAAGTGGATTTGTTCACACCGAGAAACAACGTACTTTTCCCCCAAATACTTTCACATTTGACTTTTTACATAAACCTGTAAAAAACAACAGTAAAGATGGACACACTTCAGATCTCCACGAGATCACTGATGAAGGTCGATGACGGCGTGTGTGTGGTGTGCTCTGCTATAACGTCAACTATTGAGTCTTTTCAATTCTGTCCAATATTATGAAGGTCGATGACGGCGTGTGTGTGTGGATGTGCTCTGCTATTGAGTCTTTTCAAGTCTGTCCAACGCATGTCAACAATTTTTACCATAAATTAGCTGAAGCGAAAAAAAGCAACAACCAATAGTTTCGTGTTAAGGACGGTAAAAAAGTCCCAGCTCTGAACTTAGTCATAAACTGTGGAAGAAAATACTTTGCAGCCAGAGAGTCAACAATTTAAAGTAGAGCAATGATGCATGGTACCACTAGGTGGCGACTCAACGCATTGCAGAAAATAATTCCATAAGGTTAAAGCATCAGTTAAACATATTTTGTGAAGTTTAATTTCCAAATAGATGACATCAGGAAATATATAAATAAATATATATAAATATATATCAACACTTCATGAGGTAAATCATCTTAATCTCCGTAATCTGAGACCGGTCGATCGAAGTGATGCGTTTCTGTGTCGCCTCTGCCGAAAACAAGACGCATCATTTTTACAACCTGTTTTATGACTAACTGGCAACACCAGTACCTTCTGTCTGTTGCTAGGCAACAATAATATCCCTCCTCTTCCTCCTCCTGCTCCAATGCGGCAGGACAAAGAATATCCTGAACTACTGCTGCTGCTGCTGCTGCCCACTAGTGGACTGTCCCTCATGAAGGACCTGTTTATCGACGCCTGGATCTAATGTCCACCACCTCCTGTCCTCCACACTCAGACACTCAGCTCTGGTTTCCCGACATCAGCTCTGACCCTGCAGTAATATGATTCACCTCTGTCTCTGTGTCTGCACCCACGGAGCGTCTGACTCCGTCATGACCGGGCAAGAAATCCAAGTCTGGACGGAACTCAACCATGGCACGCGTCACGAGCCACGACGAACTCCGAGACCAGGACGATGCTAACGACGTTCACGAGACGACGCAGACTTGACGTTAGTTTCGTCCGATGTAACGCATTCAAGAAACTGTGTTGGTGATTGGTTAGTTTGAAACGAGGCAAAAAAAAAACATAAAAATGCACATGAATTCATGGGTTAATGTGAAACTGAGGTGAGGTGAGTTAACTGGTAACATTTACCAGGTTTGAACCTATTATAACTGGGGATCCAATACTGATACTGAATACTTAGTATCTGCAGATACTGATGAATGAATGGATTAGCTTATCTGTTGTACAGTACTATCACATATGGAGTAAAACACACAATAATACTGCAGAGTACTGCATCAGTCACACTACAGTGTCATCCACGTATAAAATCACCAGTTTGACTACACTGAAGCAGTGACAGTGATTGGAGGAGGAGGAGGGCAGTGACACACAACATGATTGGTTGATGTGGAGGTGACAGGAAGGCTGATCCAAAATGCAGAAAAAAAAAAAATCAACGACACCAACAACAACCACCACCGACTGGAATCAAAAATAAACCAAAACACGATGCAAACCAGACCCAGAGCATGTGTGTGACACATGTGGGGGGGGAGGGAGGGGAGGGGGGGGAGTAGGTGGTAAATGACCAGTCACCAAGCACAGGCAGGCAAGCAGGCCACCAGAGACAACAGTTATGTTTATATAATCAATTCATAATAAAAGGAGGAGGTGGGGGTGAGGGGCGGGGTGAAGAGGAGAAGGGTGGGGGGAGAGGGAGGAGGAGGAGGAGGAGGAGGAGGCCTGGTGGACATTGACGCCGGCTCGTCCTTACTTCTGTTGGGGGAGTTCCAGAGCGTGGCAGAGGACTTGGACAGTCTGTTGTTAATGACAGGGTCCACCTGTCGGGGTAAGTTGACCGTGGAGGCCGAGCATCTGCCTGCACCGGAGAGAACGCAACAGACAACAACTGTTTGACAAAAGGGACGAGGCCCAGGAGGAAGAGGAGGAGGAGGAGGAGGAGGAGGAGTGGCCTGCTCACTCTGGCTCCTCCCACCACCCTCTGAGGTCAAACTGCCTTCTCGTTACTGAGGTGGATTTGAATCGGGACGTTAGGGAGGAGGAGGAGGAGGAGGAGGAGGAGAAGGGGCGGGGCTTAGAGGAAAGCATGGGAGGGAGGTGGATTAACTTGGACGTAACGTTAGGTTCAAGAGTCAGAGCTTTTCACTCTCGTTCCTGCGTCGACAACTGCAGTCGCAGCAGGACGCAGAGAAACTCCTGTTGACCTCAGCGTCAACCACAACAAGAAGGCATTCTGGGAAAATAGGAATTAGCTGTAAAATCTCTTCTGAGGATTTCAGCTGCTACAAAAAAAAACAAAAAAAAAAAAACCCTCAAATAACAGAAGAATTCCCAGAGATTCAAATCCAGCGCTCCGCCCTGATGACCCCACTGGTTCTTGGAGTTGCGTCACTGGGACCACTGAGCCACAGCACCAGCTCAGGATTCTAACAGGGTTCGTACACCACACTCACTTTCTCTGCGGGAGGTCTGGTTGAGTCCTCCGGCCCAGGACCACCTCTGCTGCCGGATCTCCGCCCACGTCTTCTTGGTTGACCTCTTGATGGCGGCCTCGTACCTCTCCTACAGGACCAGACCAGTCAGGTTTAAACAAACAGCGTCAAAATGGAGACACAGACACACCATAGAAGTGGACACACCCTGGGAGCAAAGGAACTGTTGGTGGGATTTGAACCTAGCACCCTCCAATAAAAGGCTCGATCCCATTACCGTTGAGCCACGAGTCAGAAAAAGTTTAGGTTTAAGATTCCACTGACATCATGTGGTTCAATAACGCAGCGTGATCACACCTGCCTTACACGCAGAAGGTCCTGCGTTCAAACCCCAGAGGAACCACATAGTTAATGGCGCCTCCTGTGTGTCAGCCTGTGAGTTGCAACCACATACAACCGTGGCAACTTCAAACCTCATACCTAGTTTGGACAATTTGTCATTAAATATGGGCTGAATGATGACGTTTATGTTCACATCGTAACATCCAATATATGGTTATTTTAATGTTGGCTGAACTGTGGCCCACGGATTAGGTGCCATTTGTGGCCCATAAATGTAGGCCTCAGTGTCAAGTTTTTTTCCCGGCTCCAGAGCTAACATTCTTCTCCTTCTGTTTCTGCAGTTTGGAGGAAAACAACAGCTGATAACCTCACAAGACGGCACAGAAATCACAAGGAGACTTTTGTTGGTTTTTGATAAATAAAAAAAGACACTGAAGTTCAGAAAAATGATCGCACTGATCAAAGACGTAAACTGAGAATCGAGATGTAGGAAAAAAAAAACGGCTCGATGGGAATTTGGC